TCTTTTTGCCTTAAAAGCACATAGAGCACTCTGTGTTTATGATCAGACTGTTGAAATGTCAAAGCTAATTACACTAGTGTGTTCCCAAGAGAATAAATGCATCTTTTAAAGAATATCCTGTTGAGATCAACGAAATAAGATGTTGGCGTGATCACTTGCAAACTACTGAAAGGAAAAATGATAATAAAAGGCAGGATGTAAATATTAGAAAACAGAGATGGGAGAAACCTATTAGTTCACATCCATTCTACATTGGTGCAAAATATTTTTTTAATATTCTATTGCAGAGTGATTTCTTTTTTGGTCAGTCCGTTTCCAGACGCTTGAAAAACTGAAGCCTCCAATACTTAAATTCCCTTAAAGGACATTTTTTTTTTTTTTCCTTTTGCTCTGTTTCATCCTCTTCAGTTCTGTTTTTGAGATGTAGATTTTGGCCAGACCTTGGAGTTCAATTTTGTTTCCAAATCATCTGGATAATTTACATTCCATCTTTGAAAGTGACATAGAACCTGGGGAGCCAGAGCCTCACTAAAATGAATATAACTTGACTTCTGGAGCAGACGTGGTTTTTGGATGCTTGGGTCTCTCAGACAAGCCATGTTTCCTCTGTCCATGTCTGCATTTGCACAGCACCAGGCACAATGCTGACCTAATTTAGAGCTCCTGCATGTTACACCAGTACAAGTAGATCACATTCCTCCTTCTAGCACGATACTGTTTGTGTCAGAACCCTATATTTTGAGTCTCCAAAATGCAATAGCTTGCTTATCTGTTGCTTTTCCTTCCACAGCGGCATTTGGTGTGGTGGTGGCCATTTCAAGTCTAGAATTGGTCTGCCTTCTGCTGAGATCCATGCTGTTGCTGATGGAGGCAACACACGAGACTTTAGTTTGTCCAATGCAGTAGACACAGATAGTTTAGAGTTGGTTTTCTGTGATGTCCACTGCAGGGTGGCACTTTGTCACAGTGTGACACTTGTGATTGTCACCAGGAGCTGCGTTACACTTAGAGTATCACTGCATCCAAGTGATGATCACTTCCCTCTTGGAAGGGAAGTTGAGGGAGAGCAGAAGCATCCTACGGGGAACCCGCTAGATTTGGAAAGGCCACTCGTAAGAGAAGGATTTTGTCGTGCTGGTGGAAGTTGAAATTTGCTGAACATAAGAGGACATTGTGTTTAAATCATGTTGGAAATGCACAGACAAAAGAAAATGTTTCCCGAGGTGTTTACAGTATGTTTCTAAGCAGACGCGTTGGCTTGTGGTGACTAGATGTATTTTTAAGTCTTGGCTTGATTTCTTTACTCAGTGGTAATAGTGCACTTGGATTCTTCATGATATATGCTGATTTAAACAATAAAAAAATTTAGTGAACTCTTGAGAATAAGTCAAGGCAGCTGAATGTAGTCAAAATGAAATATTATGATTAAAAATAATAAAATTATCATTTCAGTTAACAGAAAGCATATAACTGCTACTGAATAAAGTTTGGTATCTGACTAATTTTAATAAACATTACATAAAATGTAAATAAAATATTTAGGTTTGAGTTATTTAGTAATTTTTTCTTGACTTTCCAAAACCAATTTTCAACTTTTTAACTTTCCTATTTGATTTTATCTGTATTTTTTTATGCTGTCTTACTGTTACATTATTCTTTTTTTGTGTGTGTGTTCTGCCACACATAGCTTCTGAAATATGCAGTTACCTGGTATAAAATGAGAACTAAACACAGTTGCAAACTAAACCTCAAACCATGTGAAGAGGGTGAGGCCATGACAGTAACAGTAAAAACTATTGTGTTAAAACATCCAGAATTACAGATTCAGAGCTTCAGTGTGTTCGTTTGTAAAAATGTGTGATGCTAAGAGTTGGGGTCACACTTACAGTCATTTTAAATATAAATTATGTTTAGTACTTTTACCAAGGCTGGTCCAAAGCCCATTAAAATTAAAGGGAAACAAATTAGTATGTGGATCGGACCTCTGGTGTTTACTGTAAAGGTGTGGGTTTTTTTGTTGATTTTTTTGTTGTTGCTTTGTGTGTGGTGTGCTGTTTTTGTTTTTTGTTTTTTTTTTAATATACCTCTGTCGTTCTTTAGTGACAAGTTCCTGTGGTATTAGTGGCAATAAGACTCACTCTGCAGTTTTGAATTTTTTCAAGAGGTTTTGGTGAGTTAATTTTGGACTAACTCTGGTGCTAGTCAGGTGCCATCTGTCTTCCTGCTTCCAGGGAAAACAAGCCAGGGCAAGTGGCAGAAGGTGTGTGCTGCAGCCGATGGGTCAGCAAGGCAGTGGAGTGGTGGTGGCTGGAGCGGATGAGCCCGGAGCCACGGCTGCACCAGCAGCATGTGACACCAGCACCCGTTTGGCATGTTGCCGTCGCATGGGACTGAGATGGAAGTACACAGCCTTGTTTCTGCACCGCGCAGGCAGGTTCCTGCACCCCTGCAGAGTCCCACTTAATTTAATCGGGCTTCAGGTGGCAACAGAGCTCTGCACAGGTGTCTTCATTGCAGGGCTGCCATAGACTTTTTGATACCACTGAGTGTGTCCCTTTCAGGGATGTTTAATAATTATCTGCAGTTCTGGAAAAATGCAAATCTGTAAAACGAGCCAAAATCTATCTGTAAATAAAAGCATAAAACTTGGCATTAATGCAAATCACTTGCTACTGAAGTAAAGTTTGAGATCTGACTCATTTTAATAAAGATTTAGGGCTTGAAGGTAAATGCTTATCTGTAGAGGAAACAAAATGTCGTTACCTCATTTTCCTCAGTGAAATCCACTCACGTAGTGTAGTTCAGTTAGTGTTCCCAAAGCATTTGAAGATCATCAGATAACCCTCTTGACCTGAAGAAGGGAGAGTGTAATGGAGAAAGCCATAGTTAATGACCTGAGTAGGCTAATTACAACGTGTGTTTACTGTTCCCTGCTCCCTCTCTGACCTCCGTTATCCTTCCGAAGTGCTCCTTGCCTCTTTAGCGAAGCCTCTTCCTCCCTCTTCAGCGTGTCTTGCTCCTTCTTCCTTCTCTTTGGTTGTCTTCAAAAGGTACTGTTGCAGGAGTGTGAGACTGGTGGGCTTTGGCAGACGTAAGCATGTGGAAGGAGTCTCTGAGGAGTAAATATGAAATTTAGATGTAAATGTCAGTGAGAGAAGCAAAGGGTAAGGAGAGAAGTGAAAAAGGATTTAGGTGTCTATTCAATGAGAAAGTAAAAAAATGTTGCTGACTCTAGACCCATCCTCAACTATTGCTCATTGCAGGTCTCACGTCTCCACCCTGGAGCCTTGTCCCTGCCAGCTGCTTTCAGAAACCATTCATGTGGAGGCAGAGGGAGGGTTAGTATATACAGGAAAAAAAACAAGAGAGGGATTTCTGAGGTAGAACAGAGGCTCCGTCTATTCCTCTGTCCTAAATCTTAAACTGGAGTGGGAGTGTGTAATTGAGGAGTAGATGTTGTGAGCAAAGGAGGAGGCAGCTGTGTGAACTGAGCATCTTATTCTGAAAAGAGGATGAAGCCAGATCAAACTACATAGTGACAGATGGCCCACATCAGAAACCAGATGGCCTAGTGAGTCTCACCACTCCTGCTATGAAATAGCAAGCAGGAGAAGCCCACAGTGGAGTCCAAAATGTTGTTACACTCTTACGTAATGGCCACTTATGGTTTGTGAATGACGTTACACCTAGAAATCCAGGCTGTGATGGCTGATTCATAAGCCAGCGTGGGCTGCTTGCAGGATGGGTGACAGATCTGAGAGCCTGCTTGCTTTTACAAATACGTCTACATACGCCTCAGTGGCTTTCAGGCCAGACTGCCTGGCAGGCTGTGCAGGTGTATCTTCTGGGATGTTAACACTCAGTTAAGATCTTATCTAATTGATAGTATCCACAGATGATCATTGCTGCTTCAGGGTGTACAATTATGAGTAATCGTCTGCTTGTTTACAAATGTGTGTACCCTCTCTTATCTCAAATCACCTTTCTTTTCTGTGGTGGTCGACGTCATGGACCTTAGCGCTGTAATCTAGAAGTTGCTCTAAACCTGCAGCAGGGCAGTGTGGATGCATGCCTATCCAGGCACTCCCGTGGCTGGTTTACCTTGTGATTTGTGGCATGTGCGATCGCTATAATATCGATATTAACCTATGTGTTTTGCAACTCTTATTATGTCTGCGTTCGTAAAGTCTTGCCTCTTCCTTTCTTTGAGGCAATAAGAACCATCCAAGACTCAGAAAACTTAAAACATGAACTGAGAATGACGTGAAGGAAAGCAGATTTATGGCTAAAATGTCCCACTAATCCAACCCCATCTGTTTGAAACCCTGTCCTGGGAACAGATTTCAAAGTGGTTCTGAAATGCTAATCTAGTACTGAAATTCTGATTTGCTGTTAATGTCGTCAAGTTTATTAAGAGATGTTTTGTACATATGTGAATACATGAAAACTTGCTGGGAAGGATTTGTGTGTTTTGTACACAGGGCTTATATTTTTCAAGTTAAAAGCGTAAAGTTCTGTTGATCATTAAGGCAATATAGTATCCTGAAATACAAGTACAGGCACCTTCCAACTGTCGTTTAAGTGGTGCTGCTAACTTGTCAGCAAATCAAATATAAAGGCAATACAGTCGAGACCAAAAACCTTTGGCTGGCACTTGAATCAAATAGAGATGTTTTCCCTTTCTCATTAAGCCTGGCACAATAAGGATAGTGATTGATAGGTATTAAAAGCACCAAAGCTTGAAAGCATTAGTCAGCTTGTTTCTCAGGAGAGGCTGTATCTAGGAGGAAACCAGGGTTCGGGATTCCTGTGTCCTGTCTGTTGAACCATGGAGGTGTGTGCCAAGGGCTCCTTTCTTGTCTAGGGGCTCTGAGCCCAGCGCACATCTCCTTCATTTCTCTTCTCAGACACAGAACGCGTTTGAAACACGACGCCGTTAATTCTGGTGCACCCATGTTAAATGTATAAAAATAAAATGTCCCTAATTAAAACATTTGTAGGTCTGGTTTAGCAACCGTCGCGCTAGATGGAGGAAACAGGCAGGAGCCAATCAACTGATGGCTTTCAACCATCTGATCCCAGGAGGATTTCCACCCAGTGCCATGCCAACTTTGCCGACGTACCAGCTCTCTGAGCCCTCTTATCAACCCACCTCCATACCGCAAGGTACAGTAGCCAACAGGTACTTGATTAAAACAGTGTTATTGGGGGTTTCCTGTGCTGATCCATTGCAGTTTCTTCTCTAATGTAGAAAAAGGGAAAAAGGGGTGCTTCCTAATTTAGGGTCTGAGTTGGTGAGAACCTGGCAAGCCTGCTTATTTTGCGTATATAAGAACTGAGGTTTGTTTTGCTGCAAGAAAGGGCTGGTTACGTGTGAAGGGTGCTAGCCAGTGAAACAGTCGCCTCATGCACAATAGAAGTACAGTGTTTGCTAAAGCCATGTACATGCTTGCCTACTCTTCCATTGCGCTGGCCTCCTCTACTGTGAGTGCCTGGCATGGCGGGGATGGACACAGCGGTTGTATTCTGTCTTCTTTGTTGCTTTTGATGATGGTGCACTGGAAACTTCTGTGAGCGCTCAGAATATTTATCTGACGGTGGAAAAACCCAGCTATTCAGACCATCTTGTTTTGCATTGGACAGTCACGACTCTCAGTATGGTAAAAATTTGTATTAACCTTATCAGAAATTCTGTGAACTTTGGTGGATTTGGGGAACAAGGCTTCAAATCTAAGCTATGCTAGATTTTACTGTTAAAGAAAAACCTTACAGGTAAGTTTTCATAAGACAAGTTACTGTGCTGTCCTTGCTTCTTCCTTGAGATTTGGATCCCAACTGTTGGTGGATGTTTTTGCCAGGCCATGTTCTAATTAAGGGAATTTTCTCCCATCCATTGCTAGGTTTGCTACAAATCACAGCAGAATTTCTGTGCTGTGACCAAGAGGGGAAAGCCTATTTACTGGTCTTCTAAGCAAATAAAGCTTGTCATTTTTTAAATATATATATGTGTGTATTATATCTTATATATGAAAAAATATAAATTTTCTTTTTAATTTTGCTGTACCAATTCTGAGCAACATGTACACACTAAGGATTGTCTGAAAACTGCATATGTCAGTTGTTACAATTTTTAGTGATTTAAGAATTTTTATGTAATTTAACCGGCCAGTTAAATATCTAACAATATTAAAGAGTTGCAGCTATGTATCGAGTTGAGCTTCACATAGTGAACTTGTTACACTTGAAAAAAAGAGGAAAACATATCAACATGTTTCTTTTGCTTCTAGCCGTGTCTGATCCAAGCAGTACGGTCCATAGACCTCAGCCTCTCCCTCCAAGCACTGTACACCAAAGCAGCCTCCCTTCGAATCCAGAGAGCAGCTCTGCCTATTGCCTACCCAGCACCAGGCATGGATTTTCCAGCTATACAGACAGCTTTGTGCCTCCGTCCGGGCCCTCAAATCCCATGAACCCTGCCATTGGCAATGGCCTTTCACCTCAGGTCAGTCCTGTGTTTTCAGACAGAGGATTTGCTGTATACCAGAACCAAAGAGTCTATTCCCTCAGGCCACGGTATAATGAATTGCCAAATTTAAACCATAATGTATTCTTTATACAAGCCACATGATTTCAGTTTGCTAGTTTCCTTCTTTTTTTATTTTTTTTTTCCTACTGGCTGAAGCAAGAGTCATAGCTTATATTTAATTTCAAGTGATTTATAATGTAATCATGCAGGCTTCATGTTTACATTCAGTTGTCAAGCGTTTGTAACGTACTACTATTTTCCTGAAGATCCGTGGCTAGGTACAGAAAGTAGATCGTGTAGTTTTTCTGTAAACAAAATATCTCTTTAAGATAACCTCACCAATATTTTACCGAATGGTCCAGGAAAATTACAGGCAAGTTGTATGAGGACAGTTCCAAGGGCTGAGCAGTACACATTGAGATGAGCCATAACTGAGTTATAAATACATAAATTAGGTGTATTACTGCTCTTTGGCAATATATAAATGCATGAATACCATAATTGTTTTTCTAATTTGCATGAGCTCTTTTTAGGAAATCATGTTAATAAATTGCCTTGATAATTGAGTGTCAAAAGGTTGGTTGAATTTTCCTACACGCAGCATCTGTCTGAAGCTGACGTTATTAGTTAAAGCTTGAATAGATCGTAGTTTATTTTATTAGCGAGAGCTTTGCCCAGGTGCTTGGAAAGAGATGTCCACTAAATTCTGAGAAGTCACAAAGAGGATGCAATCTATAATTACAATCAGGAATCTCTTCAGGGCTGAAAGTGAGAATTTTAACAGCTTTATCTTCTTTCTACCCTTTTTTCCTCTCAGTGGTTAGAAAAACAGAGAGAAGCTCAGAATGACACAAATGAAAAGTGAAAAGACAATTATACTCAATTACACACTAATCACTGACTATCACCACTGCCTAAGCAGGGAGAGGGCATTCTAATAGGCAGAAAATGAGATTTTAATGGCACAAAGGGTGGCCAAAATAACGACTCGTATATCTTTGCCTCCTTCGTTTTCTTCAACTTGTGGTTTGCATCTTGGGAGTACAGTTCCTGGTTCCTGTGCAACGGTGATAACTCTGTGCAGCTGAAAAGTTCAAAGGCACTGGAGTTGAAAAGAATGAATAACAAAGGCAATGAAATAAACATTTTTGCCCAAAGGCAAAAGTTCATAAACCCTTTTTTGTAACAGTAAATGTAATTAAGTTTCACAGATTCCTATAGCATAGAGTGAGGTACAAAACTTTATGGCTTGAAACCTCAGGAAAAAATACCAACAGAAAAACAAACGGATGTACTTCTAACGAGACTTGAATAGGTTTTGTTCTAAGGAATTCTGATTTCTAAATGCAATCTCCAACAAAAGCCATGACATTATATTAGTTGCTTCATTTTTATTTTTTTTTTAAATGGCCAGTTTCGTAGTGTGCAATGCTTCCACAATTTTGACATAAACATACTTCTGGGATTCTGCATTAATCCATCAAAAGTAGTTGTTAGTGTCAGTTTAAATGTAAGCTGGTTCTGGCTATGGAAAACGTGTCTCTTTTTCCTTTCACAAAGCTTTTATTGTCTGTGACACAGAAGTGGGGCACAACAGTAAAGAAATCTTGTGATGTCTGGGCAAAGTGGGACAAAAAAGTGAGGCCAGGTTTCCTCCCCCACAGAATCTTGTTGATTTGAGGTTTGATACAATCAGGAGGAGATCTTGAAGCAGATTAGGCGTCTTTAATCAGTTACTGTGCTTCTTTACACCCAGCCCTGTCTTTACGCTGTGAAACTTGTGGGTTTTGTTGTTTTTCCTTGGACTTTTGAAACCTTTTCCTACACCAGTGCTTACAGCTCCTGGCCCTATCCTGCACCTCTTCCAACAGGTTTAGGAGAAGGCTGATCACTCAAAAGCATAAGTTGTGTTCATCACTGAATGCATACAGGAGATTATTTACATCCATTTAGATTTTGAACAGCTGCTTGGCAACCTAATGATTACCTTCACTGGCTGATAAAGATTTTTCCAACAAATAAACAAACAGAAAACCCAGCCCTAAATTCATGCAGCGTTACCAGCAGCTCCTCTAAAACAATTTTGAGGCCTAAACAAAGACTTAGAGACACATATAAAATGTATGTACATATAAAATGACGTATCTAGGCTTTGTGTTTGTATAAGGGAGTGCTACAGCCTCAAATATGTAAATTGTGTGCAGAAACCTGTGGGACTTCAGCAAAACGGCGATTGTGCTTTATGCCTGAACGAAGAGCCTCAGACGTCGGTCACGTACGTGCGACGTTACTGTGTGCGAAGTGCCCCTTACTCGTGGGGTGTGTCCCAGTGCATCCCTTCATCACGCTTCCTCAGGGCTCTCCCTGACGGCGCCCAGGTGGCTGGCAAGTCGAGAGCCAGTTCTGTGTTGGTGATTTCATGAAGAGAGAGAAACAGGA